ACGCCCCGCGCCGACGTAGCCGCCACGCCGCCCGCTCTGTTGCTGCCGCACCCCGTTGTTCGCGGGCGTGTAGACAATCTGCATGTACCGCTTCGTGTCGGGGTCAACCTCCCGGAGGGCGTTCTGGTTCAGGTCCCTATTGCGGCGGTACATGGCGTAGCGCTGGTCCCTCAGCCGCCGCGCCTCCTCCGTGGCGTCACGCGCCGGCCTGGAACCCGCCGCCCGGTCTTCGCCCTGCACTTCATCAGGCGCGTCGCTCACAGCAAACACTGGCTGTTGCTGCAGCTGCTCCTTCTCCTCCTCCTCCTCCTTCGGCGGCGGCGGTACTTGGAGGCCGTGCTGCTTCACCATGGCACGCACGCGAGCGTCACGTTCCTCTTCGTACACAGTCTTGCCTGTGCGTGGTGCCGCTCCTGCCGTCACACGCCTGCCCGCCGGGACTTTGGAGGACGCAACGTACTCAAACTCGTTGTCGGTGTCGTCGCCATCACTGGAGGCGATTGCCATCGAAGCTCAAAACACGCCAGCAGAGTGGGGGTCAAGAGAGATGAAAAGAGAAGAACCAATTTTGGAATTGCAGGCAGACCACCCCGCGCAGTGTTGCAAAGGGATGCACCGAACACCTCAGGGGACAACGAAAAGGGAAACTTGTTTGAACCATGGGGAAATCAAGCGAGCGGTAGTGGTGAGGTGGGGGTGATAGTACAAGGAAAGAATTCGATAAACCGCCCCAAAGGCCGTGCGGCGTGGCGGACGTATAACACACATTCAGGTTGAAGGAGCTCACTTTCCTCTACAACTGCTGGGCCGTACTCGAGACGTCACTGCATGGGCCCACTTGTCCCTGACAGAACCTTCCCCGCGTGCCTGATTCACACCCCACGCCCTCTGAAGCAGCAGCGCGTCGCGGTACACCTGTACCAGCAGAGCAGTGGATGACATGACGCTATGGCTGGCGGGCGTGCGCAGACGTCCGCCGCCACCGGCCACACGTGCGCCAACGCGGCGTGTATGGTACACCATAGCGAACTCGTGTTCCTCGCGCCGCTCCCACTGCTCCAGCTCCATCTCGCGGAGCACGCTCTGGTAGGCGTACGGCTCCACATCCTCCTCCAACAACCGGTGGGGTTGTGTGCGCCTCGAGTATGTCGGCACATTATCCCACGGCCGAGCGGCACTTGCCGCCCCCGACGCCGCCGCCACTGTGTGCGAGTGCACTGGCTGCGTCACACCCTTCTGTCACACAAAGCAGCAGAGAAAAAGAGAGAGAAAAGGAAGAATAAAGAGCATGCCGAAGAAGACGCGTGGGACGAGATTAGGCGAGGGAGGGGGGGGGGCTTGGGAGCGCTGCGCCCCCACGACTACCTAGGAGAATCAGATCACAATCAAGGGAAATATGGTGACTCAAGGGCACCCCGAGACCCCACAACGACCGCCTGAAGCAAACACTTTTCAGTACATGAAAAAAGAGCTGGTAAATGAAGAGAGTTGACCTTCTCCCATTCCCTGTTACCCAACCTCTATTCAGAGTGTGTTTTTTTTTCTTTTTGATGCCAAAAATTTGGCCTTTCGCTTGGATGTTTTTAACGTTTGGTCGTAAGTGAATCGAGCTAGGTAGTAGAGCAGTTGTAAAAGACAATCAGCAGGATTTTTGAAAGAGCATTTTTTTCGGTGCGCACATACCAATGGAAACATACACCAAAACGAGAAATCAAGAACAACACACCGGATACAAAAACGAAGTCAAACAGCAAAAATCCCACGCACACCTCCCCCAATTCTCCTCGTTGAAATTATGGTATCGATCCCTAATTGAATTCCCGTGTCAAGTAGTACTCTGGCTCCAAATATCTCGGCTCCCACATACCGCTCTCGACCAGCTTTATGAGCTCTGGCTTGGTCTTGGGCAGGTCGCTCTTCGCTAAGCCCATACGCTGCAGTTCCTCTATGACAGCCACCGCCACGTGCATTGAAACCTCACGAACGTTTTCGATGGGAGGGTAAAGTGTGCCCTCTGCCTTCACAACTTCTGGATCGACCATACGGCTAAGTGCCGATGCTGCTGCATTAAGTGCTTCTTGTGGGATGTAAGGCGGCTGCGCAATGGCGCAGCCCAACCCCACTCCCGGGAAAATGTAGAGGTTGTTGCCCTGCGATGGCATGTACGTCTTGCCGCCAAGCGTCGCCGCCGGGAACGGACTGCCGGACGCAACAATCGCAGTACCATTTGTCCACTTGTACGCGTCATCAGGTCTTATCTCTGCCTTGCTACAGGGGTTTGAAAGCGGGAATAGCACGGGACGCTCGCAGTACGAGCTCATGAATTTGACAATCTCCTCCGTGAAAGCACCGCCGATAGCGCTGAGTCCGATCAGCGCAGTTGGCTTGACAAAGCGCACGACATCCTCCAGCGTGCTCAGCTTCGCAGAGTCCTCCGCAGAGACGTCGGTGCGGGCCCATGACACTTTGTGTGCCGCCAGCTTGTCGCCGCGTGTCGTCGTCACAAGGCCCTTAGAATCCACCAGATATATGGTATCATGCATCGTTTTCATAGGAACATTGAATTCGGCGGAGGCAAGAGTGGCAATGCACTGTGCAACGCCTGTCGCCGCTGAACCAGCACCTAGGAATAAAATCCGTTGGTCCTTCACTGGGATACCGCTCACCTGCATGGCGTTGAGGAAGCCGGCGGCGATCACCGCACCGGTGCCCTGGATATCGTCGTTGAAGCAGCGGTACTTGTTCTGGTAGCGCTCCAGCATGCCGAAGCAGTGGTTGTTGCTGAAGTCCTCGAATTGGACAACGGCGCTTGGCCACACATCCCTGGCAGCGTCCATAAACTCATCAAGAAGGCAGTAGAAGTCGTCGTCACCGAGGCGGCGTTCGCGTATTCCAAGATAGCCCTTGTCGGAGAGGTACTTCTCATTGTTGGTGCCAACATCCAAGATCACGGGGACAACGTGCTGCGGGTTAATGCCCGCGCCAGCCACGTACAGCGAGCACTTGCCGATGCTGATGCCCACACCATTGGCGCCGAGGTCGCCCAGACCCAGAATGCGGGAACCGTCAGTGATGACAACGATGTCCACGCGCTTGTACGCCGCCTCCTTCATGATGTTGCGGAACATGCCCTTGTACAGGCGGTTGAAGTACAGGCCACGCTCACGGATGAAGAGGTGGTTGTAGTTCTGGCACGCCTCGCCAACGGTTGGGGTGTAAATGACGGGCAGCGTCTCCTGGAGATGGGCCAGGATGGTGGCGTAGTACAGTGTCGTGTTCGTTGCGTGGACCGCAGCAAGGTGCTGGTAGCGGTTAATCGGCTTGTCGTACCTCTTCAGCTGATCGTAGACGCGGGCAATCTGCTCCTCCAGCGTCTCCACGACCGGAGGCAGGCGGCCCACAATGCGCAGCTTCTGCCGTTGATCCGGCGTGAAAGCCGTGCCGCGGTTGAGGTAGCGGTCCGTCAGCACAGAGCTTGCGGCCGTGTTGAGAATCGTCACTGCTTGATTCTGCATGATTGACGTAGATTATCGTCTAAATGGGTTGTGTCGTTGAAGACAAATAGAATGCTTTTGGGGTGTTTTAATTCCTATTGTCAAACAAAGCAGACAGGTCAGAGAGAGGGCAAAGAGTTAGGACAGGACGCAGGCGTGTGGCGCGGGTTCCCCCCAGCGTCACCATATACAGGGATGGCACAGCGAGACACACACACACACACAAAAAAAAAAAACTCCCCAGCAGCGCCAGCGTGCTGCCAGAAATACCGGCAAAGACAGAAGAACAAAAGCAATATGAAGAAGGTTAGCTGGTGGCAAAGACCACCACGTGTGATTGTCTGTGATGGGGACAAAAAGCAAAACAAGGGGTTGATGGCGAGAAGCCTGTATGTTTCTTTGTCTAGGTTTTGTAGTACTGTGCAGCGTTTCTTTATCAGTCTTCATCGTCATCATCATCGTCGTCAAACTCGGGTTCTTCTTCTTCCTCCTCTTCCTCCGTGCCATCGTCGTCATCATCATCATCATCGTGCACTTCGATCTCAAACTCGGGTTCTTCCGGGTTTTCATCTACTTGGCTCGAGCAGATGATCTTTTCCTCATCCTGCGCGAAGGGCCGTTCAACCCGCACCGTTGTTAACGCCGCATCGCGTTCGCTGTTGTTCCTTCTGCCGCTTCCGTTCTTGGTGATAGCATTGGTGACGGCATTGTTGTTGGCTGTGGTGTCGCGCTCGTCGGCGAAGATAAAGCTGCACAGCGCAGGTGCCGCGGTGGCTATCACACGCATTACCTGATCCAATGGAAACGCCACACAACGTGCAAAGTGGCGCCATCCTTTCAGTTCATCCATGCGGGGGCCACTCTTCTTCTCGCCTACACGGCGGAACTTCATTGGCGACGCGTGTTGTTTTGCCTTCCCTGATGGGGCCGCTGCCATCTCCGCAACCGCCTCGCAACCCGTGCAGTGAAGCAGGTCGTGGGTGTCAGACGGAGTGTCACCGCGATAGGAGAAGAGCGACCGCAGCTCCTCCAGCGTGAAATGCTGCTTGGAGTCACTCTGCATATCCACCACGTTGGCGGAGAGACCCTGCTTACTCACCTGCCGCTGGTATATCTTCTCTTCAATCGATCCAGTGCTGAGCAGGCGATATATATACACGCGCTTCTTCTGACCATCACGCCAGACACGTCCCATTGCCTGTGCGTCATTAGCGGGGTTCCAGTCGGGGTCGAATAGAATCAGACGGTTGGCTCCGATGAGGTTGAGTCCTACACCGCCGGCCTTTGAAGAAAGTAGGAATACGATCTCCTGTGATCCGGGGACATTGAATCTGTCCACCACGTCCTGTCGCTTCTTCACAGGCATGCTGCCATCGAGCTGGAAGAAGCTGATCTTTTTACTACGGCACATGGCGGCCATGACGTCTAATGTCTGTGTAAAGTTGGAGACAATAACCAGCTTGTCACGGTTTCCGTTTGTTCGGAGCTCGTCTAACATGAGAGAGACGAAATGCATCTTGCTCCCAGCGGCCTCCGAGAGCGTCCCAGACTTGTATCCCTTCGGTAGCACGGATTTGGGGATGCCGTGGCCATCGCCATTGTCTTTGTTCGAGTGCACCACCGCCTCGTGGAAAAGGTCCATGTGGTTGCAGAGCTTTCGCAACGCGGAGATGAGCACAAGTGGTGTACACCGAGAGTTCTCCACAAGGCTGGAGAGTTTTTCATACGCCGCACGCTGCAACGCGCCAAGTCGCACAAAGACTGTAATGTCCACCTTGGGTGGTAAGTACGACTCGTTGATGGATTGCGTGCGGCGTAGAATAAAGCGTTGCGTGAGGTTCGAAAGGTAGTGCGCACGATCGGCACCGAGTGAGCGTATGTACTCCGGGCAGTCAGGATCGCGCCCTTGCATCACCGGCTCCTCAAACACACGCGCAAACACATCACGGCTCCCCAATATGCCGGGATTAACGAACCCAACCATCGCGTGGAACTCGGAGAGGTCATTTTGGATGGGTGTGCCGCTAAGAATGATGCGATTGCGGGTCGGCAGCAGATCGACCGCCTTGGTTGTCTTTACCTCTGCGTTCTTGAGGCGGTGTCCCTCGTCGCACACTACCAATTCCACCGACTTCAGCGTAGAAATGCGCGAGATGTACTTGCGCAGCTGGTCGTAAGAGATGACAAGGACGTCGCCGTCGCCGTCAAAGCGTGAGATAATGCGGTCACCCTTCGGCGTCGACTCGGAGATGGCGAAGTACTTCACAGCGCCCTCACCAAGCCACTTGTCAAACTCGTTGCACCAGTTCTTCACAAGGGATGAAGGCGTGACAACAAGACACTTCCGCGCCGTCGGCACACCATGTTTGCCCTGGCGAATACAGGTATAAATTGTCGCGACTGTTTGAATGGTTTTACCGAGGCCCATTTCGTCCGCGAGAATAGCACCGTGGTAACCCGGCATCCGCTCACCCGTGATACAGTCAAAGAGGAACTTCACACCTGCCCGCTGATGCGGGCGCAACTTGTCACCAATGACGGGATCCACAACAACAGAAACTTGCGGGCGGCCGTTGGCATCACGCTTGTACTCGGCACGGAAGAGTACAACGGCGCCCTCGCGGTCAGGATCGTGCAGGGGCCGCAACTCCGCCTTGACGCCGCCAGGGCCAGACTTTGGCCGACCAGCAACAGGCACAGTAAAGCCTGTCTGACCATCGCGCGGACGCTTGCGGAAAACCGGCTGTGCGAACATACCACCACAAAGACTCTTTCCAAAGGACATCTTTGGTTTGACGCTTAGCGAGCCGGCAGCCGCAGCCGCCTCTTCTCTGGCCTTCTGTTTTTCCTCCTTCTTACGGAGTTGGTGCTCAGAACTAAGAAAAAATTCACCGCTACGGAAGGACTCTTCCTTCAAGGCTGTGATAAGAAGAACCATTTTTGTTCCAACTTTCAGCGTTGTACCCGCCTTTGCGTTCAGCGCCTCCTCCTCTTTGATGGGGTAGCCGGGCTCAGGGCGGTTACCGTGCTGCCGTCCTGCCCGGTCATACATCATCACACCCAGTTCTTCTTTCTGAATGACAATGATACCCGTTGACTCGTGTCGCGTGGCTGCATCTGTTTCCACCTGAAAATAGAGACAACCATGTGGGCTTACTGGATAACTCGACACAATCTCACTTTTCTCTTCCATATCCTCATCACCGACTCCTTCGTCCTTGTTTTGTTCTGCCTGTTCCTGTTGCTGTGATGGTTCTGTCACCGAGAACCCCACCTTCACGGTGTTGCCTTCATTTGGAACAGTGCTCACCGCAGCCTCTGCATCGTCGCTGCCTTCACCCCCATCACCACGAGCAGCAGGTTTCTCCCTCATCGGCTGATGGTACTCTATGTTCACCCTTTTCGCAAGGCGAGCGGCAATAATATCATCCTGCGTGGCTCCTTTACTCTCTGGATAAAGCACTGTACGTTCCCGACGCGGTTGCAGCGGTGTTGACGCCACACCAACGGCAGGCATGACAGAACTGTCTCTATTGGCGCTGCTTGGAGGGCGAAATCCTCTCGGAAGACTACCGGATCCGCCAGAACTGCGGAAGAGAGGCATAGGCACCACTCTTCAGGTTCACACTGTGTCAAAAAGAAATATATATATATATATAGCAAACGCCAGGGAGAGCAAAAAGGTTAATGAAAGAAGACATAAATATATACACCAGGAAGGCTCCTTGCAGGCCAATAGAAGTACCTTTTTTTAAAAAAAAAAAAGGTTTGTTGGGGGAGGGTGATTTCAAGGAAACGCCATTGCTACATTGCAACGCCCAAGACGCCACGAAACAATTGATGTGGCATTAACAGTCACAAATGAAAAGAAAAACAAAAAACAAGTTACGCTTGGCCAATCCTAGATTATGGCAACGCAAAACCGACTGAATCAAAATGAACGATTGTCAACGAAGGATTGCGAAAATATACACAAATCACCACTCGCATTTTTTTCCCCACTGCGGCTGGGAAGGTGTGTAGTCCCATTGCTCCCTTGTTGCCTCCTTGCCTACGAAAAACATACCGTGCTCCATTTTCTTCTTCGCCTCAGCAGTGGCAACAGCGATACTATAATCCGCTTCCCTAAGTTGCTGACGGAGTTTATCAAGAAGTTCATTACACCCCGAAATGGTGAGGTGCTTCTGAAGTTTCTCTGCTGCTTCAATCGCATAGCGCAATACGCTCGGCTCCCTGTGTTCGCCATATATTTGAGGGGCTGGTTCGTTTACTCCAAGCCCCGCCGTTGCTGCTTCTCCCGATGCATCCTCCCTCGCTTCAGGATGCATTGGCACAATGGTTACTTCGCGATGTTGGAACACCGCCCCAGAAAGAAGCTGAGCCACCTCAACACTCTTTTCATCCTCAAACTCAACCACCGCACTGTAACTTGTTGGGCTCTCCTTGTCCGCCTTCACGACGATGGTGCGCACCTTGCCGGAGTACATCATAAATTCTTCGATATCTCTTGCCGTTGTATCGGCGGATATACCCTTAACCTTCACAAAGGTTCCCGCGGGCATTTAAATACCGGCTTCCTTTTACTTTCTTTTTCTTTTCTTCTTCTTTGAAGGGGTCTTTTTATTTTTTATTTTTTTTTTGGGGGGGGTTAGATTTGTGTTTCATATTTTACAAACAGAAACGGCCAGGCAATCCGCAACGTCGCAAGAGACGAGAAAAAAAAATAAGTTCCATAGTTTTGCACCTGAAAAAAAGAAAAAAAAAGGTTTAAAAGAGCACAGCCGACAACAATAAAAGTAAAAAAAAAGGAGCGGAAAGGGAAGAAAGAAACAGACCGAGCTCTCCTGCGTGTCGTCGGTGCATGGAGGTGTGGGCAGCAAAGGTATCCCCTGGGCTCCATCCGCATCCAAAAAATCGTCACCAGCAGGATTCGAACCTGCGCGCGAGATCGCAACTGATTTCTAGTCAGTCCCCGTAACCACTTGGGTATGGTGACCACGACGCGTCCCTATCCTTCCCACACCGGTGGGTTTACTTCTTCTCCCCTCCGGCCGTCACCCTCCGCCCCCCCTCGCCGCCCGTCGTCACGGCACCCGCACCGGTCCTGCTTCCCTTCGCCCTCCGCTGCTTCTTCGCGGCGGCCTTCTCTAATTCCTTCCTCTTGCGCATGAGGTTGACGAGGGTCTTGATGTGCTCTTCCAATTCCCTACGGTCCTTCCCTGTCTTCGACGCCAAAACTGTCAACGCCGTCTGCAGCACGGCGTTCTTCTTGGCAAATTCGTACTGGGCGAGGCGGTAACTCACATCCTCAAGACGTCGTTCCGTCTCCTTCTTCTCTCGCTCCCACTCACGGCGCTGCGCCTGCAGCCCACCGTTCTCTGCCCGCGCCTTCTGTAAATCGTCCTTCAGGTTGTCCACCGTCGTCGATAGGTCACGGCAACGTGTCTCTAAAATGTCGATCTCCTCGTCTTTTAAAACAGGGTCAATTATTGCAGCTTCGGCATTACGTGCCGTCACCTCCGGCGATGGCAACGACGCGACGATGTTGAGGGCGCGTGCCACAGCTTCCTCAGTGAGACCGACTTCTGTCTCTGTTTTCAAAAAATGCCCATGCATGCGTTCATCGACATCAAGCTGCATGTCGTCAATCGCCAACCACCTGCCACCCACTGCCTCCGGATAATCGTGCATGTGCGTGCGGATCCACCGAATAATTTCGTCCACACGGTCCCGGACAAGGCGCTGCTCCGATGGGTCATCGGCGTAGTACGTGACCGCCGTCACTTTTGGCGTGCCGTTGGGCGTTCCGCCAGCAACTGGGGGTACGTGATTAGCCGCGACCTTCGCGAAGAATTGATTCAGCCGATTCACCTGCTCGGGAAAGTTGCGCCACGTGGAGGAGAGGATGATGGACACCTTCTCGGCCCCACCGCACCCGTCGACGATCTGCTGCAGGAGTCGCACACTTCCCTCGGACAGGTCGCCACCGCCGAAGGTGAAGCGAGGCACCGGGAGCAGCACACCGTCGATGTCCAAGAAGATAACGACGTGCTCAGTACGTGGCATCTCTTCTTTTCTATTTGCCTGCCGCCCATTTGTGGACGCGGTGAGAGAGAACCCAACAATAACCACCAAAAACAACAACAACA